CGCGGCGCTCCCCATTTCGCCAGGGGCAGAGCTTAATCAACTCCATCTCCACGTTGTCGCCCTTGGATCCTGTTCGTGACGCCATGTCAGGGTTGGTGCCAAACCCCTCTGAGCGGCTACTCCGCTACCAGCAGTTAGTTAATTTTCTTGGCCGTCAGGTCAAGCGGGCTCGGTGGAGTGGAATGATTAGGTACTGAGGCGTGTTGGTTACGAAAATTGTTTACTCACTTACACCGTCCAAGGGCACGACGTAGGAAGAAGGCTTGCTTAGTTGCTTTCAATACACGGTAAGAGAGAGAAAGAATGAGAGAGACGAGACGAGGCGCTCCGTGGACGAAGCTATGGGATGGGGTACGCCGGGAAGGTCGGTGACGGGGAGTCATTGGTGGGTGATCAGTCCAAGTTTCCTCTGCCGTGTTGCAGAGTTCTCCGACGAGGGTGGAAGCTGCACCGACATTTATTTGAAAAGAGCGCCAATGGTAGATTGCCAACTAGGCGTTTATTTTGGAAAGAGCCAATGGTCGATTGCTAACCAGTGCCTGCCTTGTGGGCTCCTGGCCAACCACAATGTGCCCACCTGTCTCTCACTAAATTTGGCGCGCGGCGGGGGAGGGATCTTTTCCTTCTTTCTGTGACATGGGCACTTGTCTAATTAGGCTTTGACACTGGAGAGGGTCCAGAGAAGGGCCACTCGTATGGTTAAGGCAGAGCTTTCCAAACTGTGTGCCGCGACACATTAGTGTGTCAGCGGCAGTGTGTAGGTGTGTCGCGCGAAATGCAGAAAATTTTGCGGAAGGGCACCGCGGAGCTCCCTTACTCGCGTCTGCTTCCCTTGGCCCCTCCCCCGGAACTGAATTACTGTGTCGCGAAATGATGCATGTCTAAAAAGTGTGTCACCAACATGAAAAGTTTGGAAAGCTCTGGGTTAAGGGCTTACAGGCCAAGCCCTACGAGGAGAGACTAGAGAACCTGGACCTCTTCAGCCTCCGCAAGAAAAGATTGAGAGGCAACCTTGTGGCTGCCTATAAATTCATCACGGGGCCACAGAAGGGAATTGGGGAGGTTTTATTCACCCAAGCGCCCCA